CAACAAGATTATGATCTAGTATATGCTTCTGAAAATCTGATAAAACGATATTTTGGAACAATGAGCTTTAGCTTCAGAGCTAAACTACAGTCACTACAATGATAATCCTCATGCAACTCTGTGCGACTAAACAGCTTTTTATCAGATCCCTGAAGATCTTGCTCGATCATCCTTGTTGTTGCTTTTTTTTTTAAATTAACATACGAGCCACTGCCGTAAATATATATACGTTGTTTAAACATTATGCTGTTAACTGAAAGTTTAGGAAACCACCTGGGTGGGTTCAATAGAGTTGTTGCCAAGGCCGTGCAGGACGAATGCGCCACATATCTAGCTTACTTCCTTGCATCGACCCTTTCATGATCTTGATCTCCTCTTGTGTCGAGCCTGTTTAGAACTGATTTTCCCGTGGGGTCCTTTTTGTGTGAGGAGGTGAGTTTATATCTTTTTCTCTCGTGGGAGACTACAAGTAACGCAACGATTTTTGCCACAAACGTTTTAACGACGCGTTAGCTTGATCGTTGTCATTGCGCAACGCGCGTCTAATTAGGCTTTCTCTACATTTGAAATTACGTAAAACCCCAATTATTATTACAAACATTCCCATTATAGTTCGCTATGGGCCACCTTAGAATTCTACAGCTCATACACTATGCGCTCTACATGTTGTTAATGCTCTTTAACATCACTAGATTTTCTGACTGAGAAAGCTTTAGCGTTAGCTTTTTCCGTGTTACTGAGTTAATCCTGTAAAAATTTTCGCTTGTTTTTTTACGTTAAGACACTTCACAGTTGTGAAGCAAATATAATACGCTTACGTTGATGTTCTCTGCACATCAATATTTCTATAAGATATAAAAAGTACATCTGTAAATTCGTACGAACGTTTTTTCTAGAAAGGCTTTCTCGAGCAAGCCAAAACTATGACCTGATGTAAATTGTATGTTTATTATTAATGGCGGAATCTAACGAACCCTAATACTTCATTCAATAAATTCACGGTGAAGAACAATAAAAGACATAGTTTTTAGACTATGCTCTAACTCGGCACATGTGAACTTTCGTGAGAATCATTGTGATCCCTGTTCCTTCCACAGCGGGCTATGGATATTTATAGGGGATCTAATTTACGTTATAACTTTATAATGTATAAAGTTTAGTGCCTGTACCATTAAGGTATTGCTGTATCCCATGTACTCAAATACATGAGAACGATGTGTGTAGTACAAGTGTTAAATGTATCATTAGTGCGTTTTTTTTTTTTTACTTACAGCATTGATTGTGCAATTATAAAAAACAACTGTGCCATCTACTTCTGCATAAACCAAGTTCCTTTTTTGTCTATGTCCAATGGGACGTCAAAAGTCAATGCCTTATTGAATACATAATTCGACTTAGACTTTCCAATGGACGTTTCCGTTCTTAAAATTCTATTTGTCCTTGTGAGCGCACATTAAGTATATTTGGAAAACTTATACTATCCGTCAACAGATACGGGGTAGTCACTTGTATCTGCCAAAATATTTGATTTTGCTATAGCTACAGTACGAACACCCTCCTAACCTAAGAACCGTAAACACATTGGGAAGATCTCTAAACAAAGGTATACAATTTCTTTTTGAACCATAATTAGTACACATGTACAGCCTTTAACCTGTCATCTGTGAAGGGCTGATGGAATTCGTTTAAGATGATGAATGAAAATCGCTTTATTTGAAAAATCGCTGAAAGAGTGACTGCAAAAAGTAAGCAAAGAGTACTCACATTGCACGCTTTTTAAGCACTAATCATAAATCACCTATGGGCTATTCCTGTCAATAGATTATTTTCTTCACTTTAAAAGGGTAACAAAGTTATAGGTTTGATCATTTTTGCAATCATTTGCGCACAGGTGTGCGTTACCGGGAAACAAAAGTACCACAGTGAAAACATAAAGCAAATATAATATGTCTAGAAAAATCCAGTTCTTTTTCTTTTCAAACCTTAAAAAATTCCCAACGTGTATTTTTGGTTACCATACTGCTCGAGTCGCAACAGCAATTCTGGTATTGTGTATGTATAAATTTTGGAAACGCACAGGTATCTGAGTTCATATTGAATATGGGAAGAAAGGAATCCTTCCATGAAGTGTACTCGTTTGATACTAACACGCACATCCTTCTTGATTTGATCTTTCATCACTCCGTGATTTCTTTAAATAGGTACGACCGAAGACATAATGAGGTGTTAAATTTGCTTCTAATCCATCGTGATGCGATATCTATCGATTTTGTTCATATTTACCGTACTACTGTCAAAGGATTAATGCGAATTTTGCAGAAAATGATTAATCTTTCTTAAATCCTTATATTTAGTTGACAATAACTTACTTCGAAAGTTGACACTATATCTTATTCTCCTGTGACATGATGTTTCGACTCAGTTAAGTAAATACGTATACTCTACCGCTAATACACACAATGCATACAAATCCGGCCATAAATTATTGATGTACACTACAAGACTGGAAGAAGTTGTTTGGGCAAGATCGGAGGTAGTTGGTCGTAGGAAGGTTGTGTACCTATTCAGTTCCATCATTGTCCGGCTGGCAACACCACCCACGTGGGGAGACTCGGTCTCTCCGAGCCTCGGGCCGTCCGTCCAGCGACTTCGCCAGTCTAATATTTGTGTTTCGTATTTTTATGTTTCCGCCGTTGAACTTAAGCTCCGGTGGACACTTTCAATTATTTCGACTTTCTTGCTTGTCGATACTTTCCGGCAGCGATAGCACCAGGGCCTCTCGGAAGGAGCATAAAAATTGTAGGACATTTTTATACTTCGAAACCAAAAGAATCAGTCTCCGCCATCAACGCAGGCGATATCTTCGGTCCAGCAGCAGAAACAGTAACGAGTACTAGCAGCAGCGGCAGTAGTAGCGTCGGTACAAGAGATGGAGAAGGAAACTGCCGCAGTAGTATAATACTAGCTGCTACCTCAGCAGCGGCGGCAGCAGTAACAGTTGTGTAGCGATAGAAATAGAAAGAAAAAGGGAGAGGGGGAAGAGGATCGTATCGGAATTGTACGAGGTTTGAAGAAAAGACGCTGGGAAGAGGTTGGGAGTGGTGGGAGGGATAAGCTGGGATACGGCTATTATGGCCAGTACTGGCGCGACTTCAGGAAACTATTGGGGGTATACCGCGCCAGGGTGAATGGGTCACTCGGCTAAAGAAATAGCGCTGTTCGAGCCTTGAAAAAAAGCGGAAGGCGACGCGGTTGCAGGGCAGAGCACTGTGTTGTGATCGCTAATCTGTCAAGAACGATGAGAAGAATCGCAAGGGAATCAATGACATGGAAGAGGATGGATGTTGGTAGGACCAGAACAAGAAACCTGCGCCAGATAGCATGCTGACAGGATGCAGAGGCAGTAGTGGGATAATGGAAAAAACGAAGAAACGCTAGAAGAAAAGACAAAAAAAAGACATTTTCTCTTCTTTTTTTTTTTTTTTACTTGCTTTAACTTCTCCCGGGACGTTACGTACAACACAACAAAGGTAACGAAACGATCGAAACGGAAGGGAGAGTTTGCCAGGAAGAATGTGCTGATAATCGTGATGGCGCTGGCAGCGTTTCTGGAAAACTTGTCGGCATGTGAACGGCGCTTGAATTTGATTTGACGGCAGGCGAAACCCAGTGGATTGTAGTGCAACTGATTATTGTTTAGATGGATTTTTAGATACGACAGTCGATCGAGAGCAGTGAACCACAACAAGGCTGCGAGAAACTTTGCGATCCAGTGGAGTTAAACCATCCATTTGACAAGATCTCAGTATGTACCATTACCATGAGCGGTAGTACCAGAAGTACCACACGGTTCGTGTAATTGTAATGAATTTATACGGCGGATAGAGTAAGTGAAAAAAGGAGCAATAGCGGGATCATAGAATAGAATTTAGCTTATTGAAACCAAAAAGTTAGAATGAATCCGTCGATTTCTCATTAAACGTATCTTAAACGAGAGCTTCTTTCGCTTAAACTCCCGCGATAAGAATGTCTGTGTCTACTAGCTGCCAATCTATGGCTCAGTCCGTACTCGTGCCTGCTTGACTTGGGCTCGTAATAGAAGCAAATTCCTAAGTAAACAAATCACGACTAAATTACGGGTAATTTCCCTGCATAGCAACTCGTTCCTTATAGTGTCCAATGAATGTACGCGTCATGTATGTATGAACGTACGCGTAGCCCCTTTAGCACAGTAGTTCCTAAGACAGATCTGTATTTTTATTGTCGTCAGAACGTTGTTGTCGGGATAATGAACACATTATAACGGTGTCAAAAGATACTCTTATATTTCGCAGTCATATAATAGTATATTTTTCACTCGGTACAATCGTAGTTGTTAAGTGATAGCCATAATGACGCTTTGCTTTCATCTTCTATACCTCAGATTGTTTGAATCAGTGACTTGATACCTCAATGCCACAGCATTGCCTTTGTGCGGCACACTCTAAAAGTGCATATAGTAATGTTATAGTAGGTCTGTCGTGTTTGGTTATGGTGATAATCGCGTCAAAAATTAGGTCTTCGCCTGTGGACCCCTCCGGCAGTACAATGACAATACAAACGAGCATATTGAGTTCTCCGAGTAGTTATCAAGCGTTCATCAGTTAAACTTCCAAAGAGTCCTTGTATCGCATGTTCTGCCATACCGATGCTATCCTTATCGTGCGTATCATATCACGCATACGCAAGTATAACCTGATTAAATCAAACGATGCAAATAGTGGCTTGTTGCAAATAAAAGTGTTGGAAGACCGCAGCTACTACAATTTATCGTTAATAATGTCTTCAGCCCAGCAGTTTTCTTATAGGAACTGTAATGATTTACAGCCATTAACAGCTCGACACTAGTGACCATGACAAACAAAGTCCTCAGTTTCTGGCTGCTGTTTCTAGCACACAGTGCGTTGTTTTATGTAATGAGCACGTAATATTCGTATATTCGTTACACCTATTATCCTCACCTGTCTCGCCTGACCTTCATCGGCTTGGTTGAAGTTTTGCTGTTTAAGGCTTGCGCGCTTCAAGAGGGGCTTGACTAGATCTTTCGAGCGCATTAATATTATAATTCCGATTCGACGTAAATCTCACCACAGCAGGACCAGTGCCTCTGTGAGGTACGTCCGCTCTGTGTCCCCCAAAATGAGCGTTGCCGGTAGTTATGTAGGCGTCCATGTCGATTCGAAATTTGCAGTCAAATACTGAAAAGGTAATTTACTATAACTACTCCTTGTCTGGTCTACCTATCACACAATCTCCATACATATATGCACAGGAACTGAAGGAAGCGTCTCCTTCGTAATGTTTTACGACGTCTTATAACCAAATTCGAATGTTGCTTCTAGTAAAAAAGAAGGCGTTGTCTATCCACATTTCACGCTTAGCTTGTACGCAATCCCTGACTTAAACTACTGACTGGTATGAGCAAGAGACATGTTTCTTTATTTCATATGCTTAGCATTTACTTATTTTTACTATGCGAACAAGGCTTCGAAATCACATACTTTTAAGTATAGCAGCCTTTATTTAGGGGTCTAGTTGAAGTACGTCCTGTTTAACTTACTTTGGGCTTCTTCAACAGGCCTAAAACATGCCCTGAAACGGCATGATAAGCAGCTGTTATCCTTATTATTAGTAATAATAATTCCTTAATTACTTATTGCTCTTTTATTCCTTATTTGCCTGATTATAAGTATTTGTTTGCGAAAATTTTACATGGGATTTGAACGAGCATCGAGGCATACCCCTTAGTTATTGTTACTATGAAAACGCGCCCAAAAGGGATGTGCATTAGTCGTCCAGGCCAACCTTGCCCTGTTGTATGAGGCACCCATCAAAGGAGTATCCCACGCCCGTTAGTGTATTGCTTTCTAAACAAACGCGTTCTCCCTATGAGCGACTCACGCAGTAACTCCATCAGGTCCGAAAGATAATCTGTACACAAATAACAGTACAGTTAATCACAGCTAGAAACGACTGTACCTTTTCTAGTATCGTGGATGGCGTTATGCAGCTCTGTGCTTGGCAAACTTTTCCGATTTTGAATGTGTCAATAACAGTCATGGTCCTGGAATAAAAACAAAAAAAGGTAGCTAGTAAAGGTTTATAGAAAAAATATGTTCAAAACTTGCATTTTGTTTTTATTGAATACTTGTCTACCCTTTCATGCTTCTGGAATATTCTTGTGAGACGTTTATTGTGCTATACCTTAGAGGCCCGTACGATAGAACCGTTCCCCGTAGTTGTGATAATCACTAAATGGTTACCCCTTCAGTCCAACAAGGAGCATGCTGTTTCATAAGGCACCTCGAAGAATCTGCATCGGTCAACGAGGTGATGAAGGTGCATAAACCACAGCTGCGGGCGTCCCATTTTACAGTGTCCAAGATTGTTAAATATTGTCTGATACCTTTACAGATACTTGAACATATCGGTTCATTAGCTAAAGACAACCTCTTTCAGTTCAGGTGTGTTATGTTTAAACATGTATATACTCGTCAATTTTGTTCCTCTATGAGAACTATGTTAGAAACAAAGTCACTTTTTTTTTGCTCGTACAAGGTCGTTATTGAAAATGCTCTATTCGATATATTGCTTTGCCCATTTGAACCGTGCGATTTGTATTAGTTAGTAATCTTTTGCCGCAAATAGGTAATAGCACGGTTATAATCTGACAGCGTATTAGTGTCTTTTTGTACTACTTCGGCACACGATGCCTTCGGATGCATGTCCTCTTTTCCTCAAAGTGCTCGATATCAAGGCTTTCTCTAATGCTGCCACACAAAATTCGTATAATTCACCATAAGAAACTGTTCTCGATTCATAAACGATATTTTGCGTATAGGCAGACCTACTAGTACCACTAGCAATCACAAGGTTTACAAGAGCCTGTCAGGTACGGACCTGTTTAGCACTTGCTTGATTCGTATCTAATATGCTTTTTCAGCCTATTCACTGCTGGCAATACCGAGATATTAAAGCTGAGACTTAGCTTGAAATGTATAGGCATTCTAATGATGTCGCTTCTCATAGCTTCTTATAGCTCAAGCGGCCACTTTGAGCAGCTTCCTTGGTCTATTGATCCATTATTTACCATAAAATATATAGGTAGCCACCACAGCCCGCGTATTACAGTGGTCGACTAAAGTATTATTTGGACCATCCGCCTTGTACACGTTGTGCCATCCCGTTGACGAGCTATATACCAAAGCGGCTATATGATATCGAACTGACCACCTCGCTGTCGGACCGAAAGGTGGTTAGCAGGTGGCATTCATGTAGCAATTTCCTGACTATCAATTTGTCTTCTGATAACGACCGCATAACAATCGTAGCGATAAACGGGCGATCTATACTGTACGCACTTAGCTACAGGGGCAGCGGACGACGCGCGCGTGCGACCCATAGGACGAGTTCACGTTAATAACGTTTGTAATCAAAACGTAAAGTTTTGATAAAAATTCTGTACGTACAGATGTGAGCTATAGGCAAAGCGTTTGTCAGGCAATTCCGGAGTAAAAGCCGAAATGAATGTATAAAGATAGAGTCTCAAAGCCCTCCCTGTAGCAAAGTAACGTATTATTAACCTTACGGAACCACAAATCGAATTATATTCTATTTGTAATGAGAGGGAGAGAGTCTTGTATAGTGCACCACTGAGTATAATCCAGGCTTTTTTTTTTTATAGTGATTATTTGTTTCAACTTATCATCTAGATACCATGGGTACCTCAAGTCACCTGACTCTGTCTGAAGGATCAATATCCAGGACTAATCTGTCAGCACTTGACCAACGAGACGACTGTTAACAAATAATACGTGGCGGAGTTAGAAAGACCTTGAAATAATTGCAAAAACGTTGGACCTCTAGGCAGAACCGTGTAAGGCCACCTAACGTTTTTCTGTTGTTAATTGACATTGCTGCTGTGTTACGCACATCACGTAGGTTTTCCATGATAGACTTGCGAGTCTCTCTGGCAAGGAAATCAGCAAACGAAAAGACCAACGTGTCTTGGCAAACCGTTGGCAAAATTAGAATAATACTTACCTCTAGAGTTGGTACGTCCACCTGTAGAACAACTAAGCTGAGGCATATCCGTTTTACTGTGAGAACGTTTGAGAAAATGAAGCTATGTGTTAAAAAGTTTACCGCCGTAAAAATCGCTAGTTCGCTTCGGTGTTGGATCGGCTGAAGTAAGAATGAATAAACATTAGATATGTGGATTTTAAGCCGGCTTCAGCCTAATCTTTACGCGACTGCATAATATCAGTCCTATCGAAAGCAGATAGGTGCACAACACGCATAGAGTGAGAAGACTTTCTAGGACGGATTCGAGGCCGAGGGGCCGATCGTTCAGGGCCATATGCACGCATGCACTTAGCGCATAACTTACGCCAGCAGCTACTTATTCCACACTTAATGTTTTTCATGTGGCCATTAAAAACTTCAAATAAATTACTTGTCGGCCTCTTACGTCGCTTCGTTGGGATGTGGATTCAGCCTCTTTCACCTGCAAACTTTTTGGAACATCTTTCTTACCTGAAATCGACAGCCGTTGCCTGTTGAATTAAGCAACTCATCGGGTACTGTTTGAGCTTTACTTAGTAAAGCAACATTATTTACATAAACTTGGTTAGCAAGTTCCTGCTCACGAAAAAAGTTTATCTATGTCAAGTGTACAACACTTGTTCATTGGAGAAATATATACCATATGGCACAATTATAAGACTGCAGATCCGGTGACATCAATAAAAATAGATATGATTGCTTGACTCGCTCTACAGTGACCCTGACTTCAAGGAACCGTTCATTCCAATTACCTCGTGTTTTGATGCAAATTCGTTTGCTAGATGTCGAGAAAGTTTTTTTCTGGAGCCAAGCGACACTTTCTTCCTATACAATGACCGGTCAGACTATTCATGCAGATTGGTAATAAATTCAAGAGGCAATGCTGTTGCACACGCGTAGTGTCGTATCTATTATAAACACATACTACATACCTCTAATTTTGATGGTCGTGCCCTCATACAGATCTCACTGTATCTGACTAACGCGATGACACCGATTTAGGCTTAGAAATGACGAGGCTGTAAGTAGCTGCATGTAACTATCGTAATGAAGAATTTCAGTGTAATGTTACGTATTTGAGCTATGGAGATCGCTCTATCGTATCTCTTCGTGCTGTCACTTTGGTCCAACGCCAAATCGCTTTGTTCATGAAGTACTTGTAATTTCAGATCAAGCATGAAGACCTAAAAAGTGTACCTTAATAAAAAAAAAAAAAATATATATATATATATATAGAAAAAATAATAGAATCTGTGTTAAGTATTGGTTTTTCGTTTCGAGAAGAACGTATGGTCATTTTCGTGACGGGAAAATCTGGCGTGATGTAATACCATTAAATCGCGTTATAGAGCGCGGTAATTGCTATAACAATCTGTAGCGCTGAATTGAAATCGAGTTCATTGGTCAAAGCCCCGTCTACCCCTACGGCATTCCACTACTATGGCAACCGCTTGTTCGCGATTTTTGCATCGAAATGTTACGTATACCGTCGAATATTTCAGCGGCTTGGTTCTTTCTTACTGCCAGAAGTCCAATTTGTCTATATAATTAATACTAACTATATTGTCTATCTAACTGACTAACCTTGCTCTTTCTAGTTCGTTCCCATATTTTCAACTATTTCATTAGTGCGCGCCTATTGTCAGCGATTAGATGGTCAAGGAACTAGCTGATCCCATTGGGTCCATACATGTAGTCAACAACCATTTGATTAGACATTGGCTCCTTTATTTGTCGGTTTTAAAGTCTTGCGCTACTTACTATAGCGTTCATTGAGCAAAGACAGAAAGCTCGAGCCTCAAGGCGTTTCAAAAATGTTTTTCCTTCATCATCACAGCTGCGTATGCGCGCATTGTGGGCTTGAGTTGCTTGTGACTGCAGGAACTTCACGTTCAGGCCGGAGGCTTAGCCAGACATTGAACTACTGCTGAGGCTTGCTCTGACTACCAAGATCAGATTAACTAACTTTGCCTGGATGCTATTTTCATACAATTGAACGTGGATTAAACTTAGCGGACCTATGGTAACAGTAAACGTTTTATGGGGATCGTATTAGCTTTCTATTTGATCAGTTCTCTTTGAGTATTGTACCACCGTACGCCTGCCCCTAGAGCGAAATCGTTAGCAGTAAAACATTAGAACAAAGCACATAAATGCTCCACGAAAAAGCGATCTGAAGAAAATACATCCGTTGGAAGGCAACATTCAACAATTCTTCTAAATCTATCTCTGGCGAGTAACAGTTGCGGCGTAACTGGTGCTCATCTGCCCTCTGATAATCAGGCATCATGGCTCAGGCATTTAAAATATAGCGAGACATTTCTTAATATGTACTACAACCATTATTTCGACTCAAGGAGATAATATGTCTAGAGCAGGTGACAACGCCGCTGGTAGACCCATTGTGCCATGATGCTGGCAAGACGTTTATGACTGAATGAGTTGAAAAATTCAACAGCGCTATTTGATTTATGTTTTCTAGTACAAAAAAATGTTGTTTTTCGGTTTTCACAGTGTTGGTACGACATTTTCTTTGACGATCGTTCCGGTATGAATCGATCAGCATCTACTAAAAAGATGGACATGAACCGTCTAGCGATAACTATTCTGCATTAAGTTCACCTCAGTGGTTTGTTGTTCTGGGCATAAACGATTATACTTGGGCAAAATAAATACGGACATTTCTTTATCTATAACATGCATATATACAGAAATATCAACGTGCCGTATCGAATAAATACAAATTGAGAATGAACTGAACCCAATCAACAAACAGAACTTTTAAATATTTTTTCTCAGTATGTCTCATGGCTGCTAATGCGATAAGGCAGGGGACAGGGTGATATTTTTTTCCCCATTGCGAAGGTGTTTAATCCAAAAAATTGCAATATTTATTGAACTGTGTATGTTACTTCTTCACTGCCAAATTCCTCGGTGCGGTTCTTTCTGCCGAATTTATTAAACGCCTCCCATATTCGCTGATATAAAGTTACAGGTAGA